GGGAATGGCTACATAATTTTTGGCAACTGCTGTATAATTACCGGCTCCGGATCATGCTTATTGTAGCAGTCTTGCGCCCAGTGGGTTGTAATATTCTCCAGTACTTTAAAGTCCAGCTGTCTTGTCTTAATGCCTTATAGTCATAGCAGAGATTGTCAAGACAAAGAAATTTTATTGCTTCTCTCTAGAAACAGTTCTTTTTTTTTTTTTTCCTGATCCTCTTTCTAATGAATTAACTTTTCTCTTTTTAAATGCTTCTCCCCCCTAGAACAAATCCCTCCTACTTGTAGAACTGTAATTTTTTACGGAAACATCATAAAGTTCCCATTTGGGAGCTACCCAATTATATCTTACAATAATTCTGTTGAATGATCTATAGCTCCAGTTTTATTCCCTATTAGTATTTGGCTGATCGATGGCGAACATAATTGATTGTTAAGGTCAAATGTCTTTATTGGCTGATGCCTGAATCTTTTCTCATTACGACTTCGAAGACCTTTGTATGGTCTGTTAGAGTTCTTGTACTCATTTTTGCACACCAGAACAATAAAGTTGGTGATGTAGGTGCTGGTGAGCAATATACTTGGGCAACATTTTGTGTATTCCCAGGTGCAGTATTAAAAGGATGTGAAATACCGGGGTATCTGGGTTGAGCAGAACTGCCGTGAGAAACCCTTGATCGTGGGTTTTCAGTGTTCTGTGAAGAAGGTAGCTGTGATGTGAAGTAAATTCTTTGCTTTTATGACAGCTTAATCATTTCTAAGTGTATAAATGCAGAACCTTAACTCTGCTCATTTTGGCTTTTGATACTTACTGAGGTGTGCAGGAGATCAATGTGTGCTGCGATACAGAAACAGGATCCTGGTGATTGCCTGATATTTTGCTAAACTTTTTTCTCTTCTGTCAGTACGGTTTGCTGTGACTAGCTGCTCTTTGGAAACGTGCAGGTGCTGTAACAACTCGGTATCCTCTCAAACGGAGAGTATCCTCGCATAGCCTCAGAGGAGAAAATAGTGGAGCAGTGTCAATAGTAGAGATATTCCAAATCAAATGTGTTTTTGCTTTTCCATCCAGGGTATGTGGCAGTAATCTGTTACAAGACTCATATTTACCTCTGGATTTTCACGTATGTTAATATGTTTTTGGGCTGGAGGCTCACTTGCCGTTCACAAATGTTCCCCCACTTTTCCCCAACACAACTCTGCATCTGTCATCTAAGCGTTTCCTGCATCTGGCAGGATGGGTATCGATTCATTCTGCTTCACTTCAGATGGTTATAACTGAATTAGTTGGCCAAGACTCCCGTATAGTCAATGAAGCTGCTCCGTTTGTTCATAAAATTCACTATTTTAGAAGTCTGCTTCAGGATGAGAAGAATTGCACAGTGGACTCTGTTAACTATAATGGGAACGCAGGCTAATGATGTTGGACATTATTTGCAGATAAAGCAAACCCCTGGGGGTGAGGTCATCGAGACACACAGCTATTTGTCACTGGCTTTTTTTGTGTGTCTCGCTTTATTTTTAAAAATCTGATTACTGGGTAACGTAAAGCAAAGAACTCGTTCCGCAAAGGGAGTACTAGAATTGGAGGCTGTCCCAGTTTTGTCTTCTGATCACTAGGCACCCTCTAAGGCACTTCAGCTTTATTTGTAAAAAAATAAATGTATCTGCTTGCATTAGTTGGCAGCTTGGTAATGAGAGCACTTTGCTGGAGTATGTGTGATATGTGGGCTCAAAC